CCTGCTGATAGCTAAGCAGACAAAAAAGACAGTAAGATTAAGAACAACATTTATATATAAAAATTTATTTAGGTGAAGTCACAAACAGTTTCATATCAATTTACAAACACTTCATGTTATGCACATTATTGAAACTGTCAAGAAAGGTAAAGAAGAGCAGATAATGGCAGCTTTTTCCTGGAACAACTAAAGACATACCCTTACCATCATGCGTGTTACTGGATCATAGTATTACCTTGATCATACTCCCTAGTATGCAAGGGAAAAGGAAAAGAAGACAAAAACAAAATACTGAGTTGTAGATGTAAAATAATTAAACCGTGAAACAGTGAATATGATTTTCATGAACACCAGACTACAAAGGTCTAGTCTGATGCTCAGGATCATAAATATTCTACAAGGATAAAACCAGAATAATAATTTAGGTTAATTATTATATTTGATCAAGAATTTTGTGCTGCACAATTGGGCTACAACTAATTTCTGGCCATGACAACAATGGTGAATGTATTTTTCAGAGAAGAAGGGAGAGGCAGTATCGAGCCTCAAAGAATACTTCTGTTGACAACCTGCATTATTATACCAATGTATGATACTGTTTCAAGTCAAGATACATTTATGCTGCAGATATTCTCAATGAAATGGTAAAAGTAACAGCTGTAACAAGACAAGTTATGATTTATTTTTTTAAAACAAATAATATAGTACATAGGTTCTTTTAAGTGTCCGGTTGTGTTCTGCAAAGATCCAGGATTGCACACAAGTTTGCTCAAATGAGAAGGGTTAATCAGCGCATTAAATTGGCTTATACTTTCAAAGTAGTATTTTAGGGCAGGGTTCTCCTCCGGGAGACTGTTCCTGACCTCATTCAACCAATGTTCAATTTATTCACCTTCCTGAATCTTTGCCCTCTTTGGATAGTCTGTGGCAAGTGCTGCGCTGCAGGAATTCCTGTTTTCCAGCAAACTGGCTTGCTCTGCAGGTTTGTAGTCCATTGTTACAATTGCTGATTGGGTAAAATGAATTTCCTACGTCTTCTCTAGCACAGCTTGCAACGCAACAGAAGCAGAGGTAAAAGAATGCACTAGAATACCAGAGCTCCACTTAAACACCAACGGAGTCAGGCTGTTGGCACCAATAAGAAATTCTGTATTTAACAAATCTGAAAATATTTAAGAGCCAAAGTTAGTCAGTTTTATATGTAAACTCACCCACTTAGTCTGACTGCCATCCCAACTGGCCTTCTGTTCTCATGGAGTCTGGAAAAAAAAAATATTGAGAATTGTCTGAAGTTATACATACAGACATAAATCTGCAGGAATGAATCTCAGCTACCCTACGTATGTGCCAATTGTCACAGTCAAAATAAAACTTAGAGTTTCTTACTTTGTTCTTTCTGTGTAAAGCCAAGTCACAGCTCTTGTTGGTGCCTTAAAAAGGACAGCTAGCCTCAAACATGACACTTTGTTTTCCTTGACTTTGTTTTTACTGGTTACCCTTCTATAGAACTGCAGAATTAGATACGGGCACTATATCAAGCTGAAATTTAAGGAGCCTTCAACTGGAATGGGAAACAAAATCCAGTCAGACCGCCTAATACTATCCTCTGAAATGATGCAAATAAAATCAGCTCAACAAACAATTTGGAAAGCCTTTGTAAAACACCTTCTCTTCCTCTTGATAGCACGAATGTGGAAAAGCGTATGTTCTGGCCACAGCTGCAAGTTCATAAAGGCCTGTTCTCTCCCATTTTAATTCTCTGGTTTTGTCCAAATGTGAAGCCATGTTCTGCTCCTCTGAAGCACTTTTATACATAATAATTACGGCTTGCAAGGAACTGGGGGTGGTGGTGCAGGGAAAAACCAACAGGTCACCTCCAAGAGAGCAACATTTCCTTGCTGCTGCCTTGCCAGCTTTATCTGAGGTCTCATCTACATTTAGCAGGTGCTCAAACCGTGACTTCCATTAAAGACTTTTTCTCTTCAGACTATGTGCTACCAACTAAAAACTGCTCTAGTAACAGAAAGGCTGCTGAATCCACACTGAATAATTGCACAACTTTTACTTTTGCTTGTCATTGCGCTGCTAAAGCACTACTGTTTTTACAAACATTAAACGTTACGCGCTTTTAAAGTTATTTAGTTAAAATAAACACATTAAACTTTTCTTTAACAGTTTCTGGGGAAAATAAAAACCAGTGCTGCTGCTAATAATCAACTGGGATATTTCCATGAAACCAAAAGGGGCGGAGATGTCTGGTGCCTCAGCAGACAACAGAGCAAAGCTCTGCACTGACAGACCAGCTGCTGTGGAGGAAGTTACAAGTCTGGTTAACATGACAAGCTGAAGATCCAGTCCTGGATCAGATGAAAGCAATCAGCCATTTCTCAACTGGTGCTCACATAAGAACCATAGCAAAACAAGAACTGAGTTATTGCTCTTGAGAATGGAGAAACATACATAAACAGACATATGAAAAATTTGCATAAATCCAGACCACCAACCACAGAAGGCACCAAGGCCTGCACCAGGACCTGTTTATCTTTAAGACTGTGTGGTGTTTGCTCCCTTTCATTGTTGCAGATTGGCCCAGAGAAGTTACTTTTGATGGGTACCACAGCCAGGACTTGTCATGAAACACCAAACAACTGCAGGTGCCTTGAAAAAGGGTCCTCCCTTTCCATATCAGGCTAACAGAGGCAGACGATTTAGCCACTCCTCCGAGCTGGCAATCCCCAGGAAGCATCTGATGAGCCAGCAAAAAACCTTCAGGAACTCAAGGGTTCTTCCCCTGGTCCTAAAAAAATTGTTCAGGAATCAATATAGCAAATGTAACAGACTCTCCCCACCATCGTTCAGTTGGTATGAAACTCAGCACTCGGCTTTTTCTGCAGAGGGGATTTGACAGACGACAGCCACCAGCAGAAGAGAAGCAGCACAACCCCTAAGAGTGGCCGGCAGCCCTTGGCAGCAGCAGAGCTGGCTGTCACAGCTCAGGCAGTGGGGAGGGCAGATCTACATCAGGGGCTACACCAATTCAGTAGCACTCCATGCCTACACAGAAAGCGAAACCTCAACATACACAAAATCTTCCCTAGTCCCATCCACCATCTTTTCCCACAAAACAGGCCAGAAGTTTTGGATTCAATCTGAGTCACAAACTTAAGTTAAATCTCCAAATGAAAGGGAATTTTCAAGCTCTGGCCATTCGTATTGAAGCTTATCTTTATTCACATCAATTTTCCTGGCCTCCCCACAAAGCCGGCAAGCACCACATGCTCCCTTAGTCACAGGAAGAGTCTGTACTCTTTGTCTTACATACAGATAACAGTACTGTTGAGAAAGTTAATTTTTTTAAGACAACTGAGAGGAAAAAAAAACCCATAAACCAAAACAGTTTTCTTCTAACGTCTTAAGGAAAATGCAATTATATACCAGGGGAGGCCATTGGTGAGGGTGTAATTTCTGGTAGCCAGAGTAAGAAATCTTACAAAGAACTACTTGCTGACAGCCTGCTTTTCTCCCTCCAGCAACGCCCACGCATCCCAGTGACCCACTGGACCCCCAGGTGGCCCCCCCCCAGCTGACACCACAGCCCTGTGGTTAGCACAAGTGAAGTGCCAGCGCCACAACACCAGAGCCACCAACCAGCTCACAGGCACCCCCAAACGCCCCCTCTTTCTCCTCTCCCCCTCCGATGGGGCGCCGTGCCCGGCCAGGGGAGCGAGGGAACGCGCCGCCGCGGCCCTCGGCCCGTCACACCTGGCTTTTCTCCTGCTCCTTGGGGCTCTGGGACGGCGCTGGTGCCGGAGGAGGAGGCGGAGGTGGCGGCGTGGCCGGGGCGGCCTTGGCCTCGGCCTCAGCCCGCGGGTGCCTGGTGACCAGCGACTTGAGGGGCGCCATCCACTTCATCCACAGGTCCAGGTCGACGTCGCCCCAGGGCAGGTTGGGGTTCTTGGCCGCCCGCCGCCGAAAGTCCTCGTCGTAGTTCATCCAGGAGGTGCCCCCGTAGGTGGCGTGCAGCTTGCGGATGGTGTCCAGGTACTTGAACATGGCTCCGCAGCGCGCCGGGTGCTTCTCGCACAGCACGCTGGCGTACACCAGGAAGGCCGAGACCCACTGGTCCAGCGTGTCCCCCGGGCGCGGGCCGTGCTCGGGGGCCAGCTCTGTGTGGAGCAAGGAAAAGAGGTCAATGAACTCCCCGCGCCAGATCCGCTCCTTGGTGGCCTTGGCCAGCTTGTAGCCCAGC